TAAGCAATATCTTGCATAATATTTTTTAAGGATTATCAAAATTCTGGTAAATATTTTCTGGGAAAATTTGCCAAAATCTTTTTACTTATACACATTTCTAAAAGACTTACAAAAAGTCTACTATTGGTCATTTAACTATACTTAATAAAACCTAGCTCCAAAGGATCTGTTTGTAAATTAACTATAAACAAATGTAAAACCTTCTTCAAGGAAATCGTGCATAAGAAATACAATTGCTTATAGTGTTGTAATTAGAGCACAAGAAGTTTGTTTGGTTAATGTCAGGTATTTATCAAATTTTATTTTGATCAAATTTCAGTACAATTTGCAATTTCTCTATAAAGTGTGGGTTTGTTATCACCTTTCAAAGCAGCATTGCTGAGTTTGATTAGATGAATTATGTTTCTGCTTTGAATTAAGTATGATAAATAACTTGTAAAACAATGATAATTGTGCTGCGTTATTTCTTTCAGAAAAATAACTCTAAATTAGCAGTTGTAGCTGCATTTGTTTTGTCAAATATTGTCGATGTTGACAACTTGTTTGTTGTTACCAAAATATGTGATTTGATAATTAATTTTTCTTGCTTTTTCTTGCTTGTTTAATAAGTGATCTTTTAATAAACTTTAAGAAATACATTCCCTGCAATGTAATCAGCAGTAACTTCAACAAGAAGAAAAAAACAAACACCGAGTTTATCAAATAACAAGTATATTTTAAACACTCCTTTTCTAAACTAAATGATAAATTAATAATTTTCCATCTCCAGTATATGCTTTATGAAACTATAAAAATGCATTAACATTTGTAGAATGGTTATTGGTAACAATAGTTCTTATCTTAAATTCAGATTGGTGCATTGAGGTAATACACTCATCAATTTCTTTTTTCAAACATAAACCTGTTATGTAAACTTAAGGTTATGATTTCAAAACATTAGAATAAATTTTTGAAGCCCTACAATCATAAAAACAAAAACAAATTCTTTATAAAGATTGTTTTCTCAATCTTCATCAAACTGTTTACCACTTTGGGCTGCTTTTTGGAAGTACACTTTACCCACAAGAAGCAAATAATCTCTTAATACCAAATTTTTGTCAATGATTTTTCTAAAATATATTACAGTTTTTCAATTTGTATTTTTCACCACTGCGAAATCATTTAAATAAAGAAGTATGATAACCATTTATTTAGCAATGAAAAAAATTAGAATTTTATTAACAGCTATTGACTCCAAAACAGTTGGTATGCCTGATATTTCTTGGCTACTGTAAATAAATAGCTTGATTTGTTACATTTTAATTGATGTATGTTTGAGACCTGCAGCATAATAAAGTATTTACAATGCAAAACCTTGTTTTGCAGTGTAAATTATTTAAAGAAAAGATTATGTTTTCTACTTAATAATTGCAATTATAATAAATACAAAATTACAAACCTTTAAAATTATTTCCAATGAAGAGTTGTGGGTAGTTTTAGCAATATGTAAGATTATTTTTAAGATTTTATTTTTAGCATGTTAATATGTGTTGATATAGCTATCTAAAAGCCTATTTCAGTATTCTTTGTAATCAAAGAAAATCTAACTAATATTAAACCATTTTAATAAAATAAAAATAAAACAATTATAGTGCAAACAAGACCAGGGCCGGCGCGAGTAGGGGTCACGTGGGGGGGGGGGTGCCATTACAACTTTTGCCGTCTTAAAAAAAAAAAAAAAAAAAAAAATCCTCGTTTTTTTAAATTTTACCGACTGCCATAACGACATTTGCCGACTGACTTTACCGACCAACCTATCGACAGGGTCTACATTTGCCGACTAACTAGTCAAAAAGGGTCACATTTGCCGACTAAGGGTCAAATTTGCCGACTAAAAGTCATTGATGGGGGGGGAGGTGTTACACCTTCCCACCCCCTATCGCGCCGGCCTTGAACAAGACTCTTAACCATAACAAAATTTAAGTTTTTATACTTAAGCCGTAAAAAAAACTGGCCTCTTAATTTTTTACGGAAAATGCAACTAATCAGGCCGTGTAATTTAAGTAGGCCATGGCCTCAGGACTTCAAAAAAGAGAAAAGTATTGTGTTCGCTTGATGATCGAATTTGATTAGTATTAACTTTCTAATTAAGTTGTTGCAGTTGGAAAGTTTTGGAAAAAACCCATTTAATTTCAACAGTAGATATATACTTAATTATTCTAAACCATATGAAAAAATAAAGGTTCGTGTAGTTTAAAAATATTTTGAAAAATTATTGTCCAATTATTTGTCCAAAAAGTTGAAACTATGGAATATAGTTGAAACCAGCTACAAAAACAAATGGATAACAATGGAAGAGCAGCAAACTTTACATTAGGTGTGCAAAGATGAGTTCTATTTTAGTTTAAGTTACAAGGCAGCCCATTTAGCTGTGAACTACACCTTTTCAAGATGTAAATGAGAACATGAAAGTTGTAATTAAGAAGTCGTAATATGTAATTAAGAAACACAACATGTAATTGAGAAAACGTTATATGTAATTGAGAAACACAGCATGTAAATAAGAAGTCGTAACATGTAATTAAGAAACACAACATGTAATTGAGAAAACGTAAGATATAATTGAGAAATCATAATATGTAATTGAGAAATCGTAACTTGTAATTGAGAACACATAAATTAAAATAGCAAATTCACAGTCTAAGTTTGTAGGTTGTTACAAAAGGTCTTTTTGGACATGAATTTAAGTTATAATCTTAAATTTTGCTTTTGTATGCACAAGTAATAATAATGGAATTGAAAGATCGTTGTGTTATATGCCAATACACTATGACCCGAAAGTCTGTGATTAAGCTAAATCCGTTTCAACATTTATGTCACCAAATTTGTTTACGTCCAGTTCTGGAACAACCAGATTCAAGTTGTCCGATTTGTCGGCATGAAATACACACAACTGAACAAGTTGAAAGGAAACGTTACGTTTTATCTTCTCCAAATGACAGGAGAAGAGTTGTTGAATGTGCGGAGCAATTTGAAGATTGGGTGAATCTCGCGCAAACGCTAGGTATCAAATATAAGACAGCATACAATTGGGTTCGCAGCGGAAATTCAAATTTCATCGGAAAAGGAGGTTTTAAACCGAAAAAGTTGACCGAAGATCAAATCGAAGAAACATTAACATGGATTGAAAATGATTGTCAATTAACATTGGTGGCCATCAAAACAAAGATATTAAGACAATTTAACATAAACGTTAGCACAACAACAATAGCAAATTACCTCGAAGGCAGATTGTTCTCATTAAAAAAAGTGCACAAGGAGCCTTCTACAATAAACAGTTATGAAAACAAACAAAAAAGAGCTGAATATGTTAGAAACATCAACGAACATATCACAAATGGTCGTCAGATAGTTTGGTTGGATGAAACAAATTTTAACCTTTTTTGTAGAAAAACGTAAGGAGCAATTATGAAAGTACCTGCTTCAAAAGGTTTAAACATACACTTGATCGCAGCTATTTCAACTACAAATGTCGTCATGATAGAAACTCGCAGGGGATCATTTAAAGCAGATTCCTGTAACGAGTGGATGTTGGCTATGTTTCACCAGTGGGTTACATCCGGGAATCGTTTGGAGGATTTGGTCGTCGTTACAGGTAATGCTCCTTGTCACGCTCGTTTGCAAAGGGTGTTTAATAATTCACCAGCTCAGTTGTTACGTTTGGGACCTTACAGTCCAATGTTGAACCCGGTGGAAACGATCTGGTCCAAAATTAAAAGTAATGTTAAAAATGCAATTCGCATTCCACCTGTATTAGGTGACGGGATTGCGGAACAGCGCATGCAGTACTTAGAACAAATTGTAATTGAGGCGAAAAATACTATAATGGGATGAGATTGTGCACGTGCGGTACAACACACAACCACGCACTATGCAACTATTTTAAATATGGAAGACGTACAAGTTGGTGCTTAAATGATCAATGAAGTGATTTTTAATTATATAATTTTTAATTGAATTATAAATTTGTCCCTAAAATGTTTTTAGTGTTTATTATGTTAAATTCATTTGCCCAAAAATTATAAATTTTTCCCTAAAAAATTAAATTTACGCTACAAATCTTGCGTCATTTTATACGCTCCATATTTTTACGCGCCATTTTACACTTACTCCTTTAAAGCGATATCTAAATTAAAATTTTCGTGTTCTCAATTACATCTTTCTATTTCTTAATTACAACTTACATTTTCACAATTACATGTTACGATTCTTAATTACAATTTTCGTTTTCTCAATTACATCTTATGTTTCTTAATTACAACTTTTGTTTTCTCAATTACATCTTACGATTCTTAATTACAATTTTTGTTTTCTCAATTACATCTTGAAAAGGTGTAGACATTATTAAAGTAGATTAAGATATATTAAAATGAAAAAAAAGTTCGAAAAATAAGGTTCTTTATTTTAGGGATACAATGTAGGTCATTGTCGTGGAGGTCTATTCTGCTTAAATACATGATTGTTGATATAAAAATACAAACCTCTATATTGTGTCTACCAAAGAACACGCTCATAACCTAAATGTTCTACATGGAAAGTTCCCGCAGCTCTCTATCACATATGATGACTTTAATAGTTATTTTCCATTTTCAATAGTAAATAACAAACTGTATGAATTATTTCATATATAATGCTTAATTTTTTTGTTACTTATAATTCATAAATTATATTATTAATTATTTAAGCAGAATAAGATTTCTAGTTTTCTACTTTTCTTATATTTAATGATAATAATAATTTCATCTATTTTTAACAATGCCTTTTTTTGTCAATATACTCACTTTTATTAAAATCGAAGTAGAAGGCTAATTAATTAAAATGAAAAAAAAATGATTATGATTTTCAGAATCAGCATGAAAAACTAAAAAAAATTGGTTAAGCTATAAAAAATCTAAAAAAAGATGATTATGGACCCCCCCCCCCCCTACTATTACTGAAAAAAATAAAGAAAAAACCAAAGATGCAAATTATAATTTCTTTAAAAACTTTGTTTACTGTACATAATACACAAGTTAAAAAAACAAAAAAGAAGCCAAAAATAGATTTATTCTAAGCTTTATAATTTACGAGTATTAGGAAATATAGTCGAAAAAAATTTAATTGTAAAGCAGTAAGAAAAATCAAACAAACAATTTACTTCTTTAAGTTAATTGCTTGGACTATATTTAACAACTGTAAGTTGCTAATTTAATGCAATTTAATGCAATTCTTTTATTTTTTTTATTGCATATTTTAAGGCTAGAAAAAGTTAATCTTCTTCATTATCATTTGCTTGCTGAACCTGGTTTTCCTCCATGTTGTCTTGTTCTTCGTCGTCTATTTTAGGTGCTAAAAAGAACCTTATGTGACCGCAATCTCCAATTTTGTATTCTGTTACTAAAGGTACATCATGACATATAGACAGTGCAACAGTTTTTGATAAAGATGCAGCCTAAAAAAAAAAAAAAATAAATAAATATATACACTGCACATAAAAACAAAATTACCATTTTAAATTAAAAACTATACACAAGACAAGTTCAAACAATCTACACACAAACAAATTTATACACAAGAAATACAGATGTTATTTACAATTTTTATTTACTGTTAGATAACATATTTTTTAATACCATTCATAAAAATTTCGATTTTTCTAATAAATAAACAATACAACTTTTATTTGGTAATTTAGTGGTGCATTTGTTAACTAGAGATTATTTATTTTATTAAAAAAGTAACAACTTTCAGTAGTCCAATGAATATCAAAAGTACACTTTTTTTTAATCAAGCTTACTTCCAACAAGGTTACTAGATTGTAGTCAGTCAAGCATGAAAGCAAGAAAATCAGGAAAGCATGAAAATGGGAGTGAGTTCCAAAGGATTGAAGGGAGAAAACCTAGATGAGAGTTTTTAGAGCATCAAGGATATATACAATAAAAGGATGCAATTATATTGAATGGAAGGTAAAGCGGAATTAACTGATTAAAAATTAACGAAATTAACTGATTGAAAAAATGATTAGTATTGAAAAATCACTGACCTAAACTCATTTTAATGATTAAGATTGAAAATTTTCAGATTAATATCGAAAAGTTTTTATATCGAAATTCCCAAGTGTGGAACAATATCGAAAACAATAAAAACGGAATAAGATTGAAAAATTATTTAACTGATTAACATTGAAAATGTGTTACTCTGATTAATATCGAAAAGTTTTTATATCGAATTTCACAAATCTGGAACAAAATCGAAAACAATAAACAAGGAATAAAATCGAAAACTTATTTTAATGATTAACATCGAAAATGTGATATTCAGATTAATGTCAAAAACAAAAATAGAATAAGATCGAAAACTCATTTTAATGATTAACATCAAAATTGTGATTTCGATTTTATTCCTTTTTTCACAGTTTTGATATAATTCCGGAAATTCCTATTTCAATATTGTTCCTTTTTTCACGATTTAATTCCGTTCTTTGAATTTTCGATACTATTCCTTTTTTCACAATTTCGATATTATTCTGATATGTCCCTTTTCAATATTTTCCTCTTTTGAGCTACTTCGATATTATTTTGCTTTTCGTATTTTCGATACTATTGCTTTTTTAACAAATTCGATATATTTTCTTTTTCAATATTATTCCGAAAAGTCCCTTTTCGATATTATTCTTTTTTTCACAATATCAAGATTATTCTACTTTTCGATACAATTCCTTTTTTTACAATTTCAATGTTATTTTCTATTTCGATGTTATTCCTGAAATTAACTTTTCGAGATTAATCAGTTTGGCTGCTTTCGATACTGTTACTGCTACACAAATGACATGTCAAGTGAGAATGAGTTTAGAAATTTGAGTTTAATAAACTGAGATGATAGTTCCTTTGAGCAGCGACTCTGATAGTATTTGTATAAAAAAAAAGATGTAACATTACGATAAAGGGAGAGTGGTTCAAGCTTGGCAGACAGAGCAGATGAAAAAGTTGATATTTATTAATGTTAACAGTATTATGATAGTTGCTTGCAGTAAATAACTGAGTTTTGTTGGATTTAAAATTTACAAGGCACTGCAAACTCAAACTAATACAGAAGTGAAACCAGATTCAAGATAAGCTGCCTGTTCTAACCAATCAAAAAGAAAAGATGACTTTAGGTGTAAAACTGTTAGAAAGATCATTTATGCAGATAAGAAACAATACAGGACTAAAGATAGAACCATTAGGTACCCCAGAATTACATGTGATAAAAAAGAGTGGTGGCCTTTGAGAATTCTAAATACTGTGGGTATTTAGAATTCTAAATACTGTGGGTATTTAGTATTACAACCATATTATATTATATTTATTGTTTACCACCTGCAGTCATTTTCAAAGACCAACATTTTTCTTCATCTCAAGTAACTTCTACCTTTCCTCAAGGTTCTATTCCTGTATTGTTTCTTATCTGCATTAATGATCTTCCTAACAATCTTACATTTATAGTGGCTCTATTTACTGACAACTCAACTTTATGAAAAGAAATGGTTTGATAATCTCAAAATTTTTTACAGATACACCATCTGAGACAAGCTTATTGAGATCAGCATGTCAAACTTTATTTTTTAAAATAAATTTTAACACAACTGGATTGAAGTCAGAATTTTAAATCTTATAGTTTTCAAAATACTTAAGGCAGGATCAACATATCTCTGAGAAAGCAAATGTGTATGTATGTATGTATGTATGTATAAACCTTCAGGTGATAAATTTTTACAATATTTCTGTTGGTTACTATTGGATGAAATATTGGATGAAATAAAATTTCTTTTCATGAAACACATTTTGCATGTTTTTTTATTTTTTTGAACTAAAACTTGTTGCAGTTGTCATGTGTAAATCCAAAAAAGAATAAAAATTACTACTATATATACAGGGTTCTCACTATTAAAAATGAGGCTAAAAGCAAGGATTTTAAGGATATTTAAGGAAATATTCGCCTAATATTAAAGAAAATTTGGTCGCGAACAACAATTTTTTGAAAGAAAAAGTAAGGAGAATTAAGGAAAAAATGACTACATTATAAAGAGAATCTTTTTTTTTTCAATAAATTTCAAATATAAACAGAGAAATTATTATAAATTAATATATAACTTTATATATAATATATATATAAATATAAATACATATATAATAAATAGGTTTGCAAACTATCAAAGAACTATATACTTTCTTTTTTATTAATAAGTATAATCCACCCACTTTAATAAAATTTCCTAGATGATTAAAAAATATATATATAATAAGGAGAAATTAAAGAGAGCATTCAAATTTAAACTTTTTTAAAGGTTATTTAAGGACATTTAAGGAAGTTTTTATTTTTCAAGGATATTTAAGGTTTTTAAGGAGGAGTGGGAACCCTGTATATATTATTAATTTATAAAAATAATTATGTATTATATATATACATATATATATATATATATATATATATATATATATATATATATATATATATATATATATATATATATATATATATATATATATATATATATATATATATATATATATATATATATATAGGCTATTATAGACCATTTTCAACAGTGTTGAACATATTTTGGCAACAGATGCTTTTCAAATTCAGAAATTGAAGACCTTTATTTTTTTTACAGCAAAAGCAGTGCTAAACCCTGTGATAGTTTGGGTGGTAATGTTAAAAGGAAAAAAATTGCAGCACCTGATTTTTAAAAGTGGTTTTGTTCACAACTAAATTGTGATAAGATAAACAGAAGATTATCATGTTGTGTATAAATATTTTTAATAAATAAATAAAACCATTGTAAAAAAACGAAATTATATTTTATTGGATATTTTCTTACAGTTATTGTTTAAAAGATTTTAATGCATTGTAAAACTTAATGTAATTACAACACAGAACTTCTGCTAAATATAATTCCTCAGTTAAATAAAAACAAGCAAAATTGATAAAGTTTACCACAATAATTATGGTTATAAAACATGTGTGGCTAACAAAAATTACAATTCTTTATGTATTTATTTGCTTTTATTTAAACAAATCTTAATTAACTTTTTAATTGTGATTTATCAGTACATCTGCATGTACATTCAAAAATGTGCACTAAATTAAATTGAAATAAATTATAATTTACATAAATGTATAAATGTGTGTGTATATAAATATATATATATATATATATATATATATATATATATATATATATATATATATATATATATATATATACATACACACACATATATATATACACACACATATATATACATACATACCAGGGGTAGATCTAGACCATCTAGTAAGGGGGCAATTAAAACTTTTTTTTAATTTCATTATTATTGAAGGAAGAGAGAAAGAGGGGGGTTGTATATTACTATTAGGAGGGCAAAAAATTTACCCCCACACACATGTAAATTTACTAATTAACAAAACCAAAGTTAAGAAGAAAAAAAAGCTTAACTTCTCTGTTTGAAAAAAACTTTTTTTAATAAAACATTAAAAAAATTAAAATTTTACTTTTGTAAACATGATGAGAAAACGCATTGCATAAGTCTGGGTCACAGCTTCATTTAATTCAATTGAAACTTCTTCATCTTCTTTAGAATCTACTGATGAACTTTGTCTAAGTGTTATACTGCCATTTCCTAATTCTCCAGAACAAGAAAATCGTACACCATCTTTAGTACATGCTATTGTAACTGTATCTCCGAATTGACTTAAATCACGACAAATTCTGGAAAGTTCATGTGATGGCATTTTAATAATAGCATCATAATCTTGATCTGGGATTCCAAGATGTTCACTATCGATATCCATGAGCTTCATTTCAAATTTAGAAACTCTTTCTTGATTTGGTTTTTCAAATATAAATACTACTGAGTCTGCATTATTCTCTGCTCTTAGAGTAATAGACTCATCGTTGCCAGCACACTTTAAAATTTTAGACATAGTAACGCAATTGAGACCTAAAGTTATATTTCTGTCGCATCTATAAGGATCAAAAGCATCTGCTCTCAGCAATACTGAAGATAGGCAAACATGACTTGTATCCATAGCTTGACAACTTATTCCAGAAGCAGAACAAACAAAATTTACTTCTGCAAAAAGATCTTTCATGGATTCAATCAACTTTTTCAAGGGAGCACCGTCTGTAAGTTTAGCTTCAAACATGTTTGGTTTTTGAAATGAAAGAACTTAACTTGACCACTAAAAAGTACGAGTGAAAGTCGTTGTTTGGAAAACTAAAGTAAAATCAGAAGAGACAAATTTTCCCGCGCGCGCAAAGCCTTATAATAGTTTTACCCTTACGTCCCAAACATTGTATTTGTGTATAAATTGTCGACTCAAGTAAAATGTAAAAGAGGTTTAACTCCGATTTTACAAATAGTACTCAAATTCATAATAGTCTTAAAAAACAGATTAATTTTGTATGTAAAATCATTTATTAAAAACATATAAAGTTACGTATAATTACAAAACCTTGAGGTCTTGTCGTCAAGAACCGCTTTGTTCTTCAAGTACATAGTTACATTTATTGCGTTAAATATGAATATTCTCGTCGAAAGTAAAAATAAATAAACCTAAAAGATATATAACATTCATATATGTAAATACTAAGAATTGAATTTTAAAAATTTTACTTTATAAAAATTTAAAATATAAGAGAATGTTATCGATAGATAAAATTATCAGTTTAAGTTTGAAATCTTGAACGTGTTGTAATTTGATTTTACTCATGAGTAAAATCAAAATATTTCAAAACTATTATGTTCAAGAAAAAAGCTCCTCGATAAGAGATACAAAATCTATCAAAATTTGTATGCGAAAAAGGTTGTTGGATAAAGTTTTCATTTCGCAGATAGTATTTGTGTTTTTTTGTGTGAGTATAAATTATAAAAAGGATAAGAGGAAGTATTAGTTTAACATTTATACATAAAGCAAATAATATTATAGACATTAAGTTGGTATACATTAAGAATATTAATTTTAAGTAAAAGAGGTCTGGCATGAGTAAAGCTGTCTTTAAATTTTATAAGACGTGCAATATGCTTCTGTTGACAATAAAGAAGTTCTAGTATACTTTTATTTACACCACCCCATGCAGTATTAGCATAATTCATATGGCAATGAAAAAAAAGTAATATAACTTGAACCTGTTGTACCTAGAACAGTTTTTCAGATATATAATTTTTATTTTGATTTGACGCACAGCACATAAATGATAATTGCATATTTTGAAAGGTCAATTATTTGGGTACTCAGCACCAAAGTATCAGATATGTATATTTCATACTTAATACATAGATTTTAAAGTTAAAAAAAATGGTAATTAAGGCCAAGGTACAACATACCCTATGTACCTGGGCCAGTAATATGGTGTACCTACGACACATTGAGAATTCTGAGTGAATTCAAGTAAGTTATTAACTTAAATCGTTTTATTCGGTCTATTACATTATTTACCAAAACACCTTCGAAAATCTGAACAAAATCAAAATAATATTCAACTTTTTTTTGTTTTTTAAACAAAATCTTTAATCGAAAACATCAAACGTTTAATTACTATTTTGTCACATCACAAACTTTATATTGTAATTGTCTCTATTAACATGTTCAACCTGTAGGTTCTCATGATCGCTGTTATTGTCGAAGGCACCTTCAGATGTGTCACTCATTGAATAGCTGTTAGAATCTTCACTAGGTTCTGCTTCAGATAGAATTGTTCTTTTTATCTTTTTTGAATTATTGGCTCTTTTTTTATTCATAAACCTATTTGAAAATTTTTTTAGCCTTTATATTTTCAATTCCTTTCTTTTCTGGTGTATCGGTCAAAATTTTGGATCTTCCTTTTTGCCTAAAAAAAGGTTCTAAAGAAAATATAAAGTTAAAAAAATCTGACTACAACATCCATTAAGATAATTAAATTTTTCAGTTTATATTTAAAAATGGGAAAAGTAAAATGCATGTTAAAATTGGACAAAACAATTTTATTCCAAAGATAAGGTGCACGATATGCAATGCAAAACTGATTAAAACTGGTTCGACAAAAGGGCTCATATATAAAATTATTGTTTCTAAGTGTATATTTATTTATTGGCTTCAAACAAAAGAGATCTTTGAAAATGGGTAAAGATATGTCATTTTTCCACATATACATAAAGCACAAAACATTAAAAACATTAAGCTCATAAATATTGAGAACTTTCATTTCAATAAAAAAGGTTTTGGAGTGAGTGTATCGATCCGCAAAATTTATTAAACGGATCGCATGTTTCTGACGGCGATAAAGGCATTTTAACTTACTTTTTTCAGTGCTTCCCCATGCAACAGTAGCATAATTTAAATAACTATGAATTAATGAGTAGTAAAGTTGAGTTAGACTTTTTTTACATAAATATGTTCTGGTTTTATATAGAATACCAATATTTTTAGAAATTTTTGTACCAATATAGTCTATATGCTTTTTCCATGTTATGTTTTCATCAAGAAAAACACCTAGAAATTTTGTTACATTATGTCTTTTTATTTCAACATCATCAATAAAAATTTTAGGCAAACTTTGGGGTAAATAAGCTTTTTTAGAGACTGGGTGGAAAAGAACCCAATTTGTTTTTTTAATATTAAGAGTTAGTTTGTTGCATTTAAACCATTTGGATATACTTTTAAGTTCATTATTCATACTATAAAAGAGTTTGCAAATGTCATTATTGGAAAAGAATAAGTTAGTATCATCAGCAAACATGATACTCATTAAATTTGAGGCTTTATTTAGATCATTTATATAAATCAAGAACAAAAGTGGTCCCAAAATGGAACCTTGTGGAACGCCACATGAAATATTTAAAAATTTATTTGGATGATCATTATTGCTGAAAACAAATTGTTTACGGTTGGATAGATAACTTTTGAACCATCTTATAACTTTGCAATTTATTCTATAATATTTTAGCTTTTGTAGTAAAATTTCGTGATCGACAGTATCGAATGCTTTCGAAAGGTTGATGAAAACACCTAATGTATATTTACAATTTTCAAAAGAATTAGAGATTTCACGAACAAATTGGATAACTGCATGTTCTGTGGAATTATTTTTTTTAAAGCCGAATTGATAGTTGTATAAAAAATTATTAGAATGAAGATAATTGTATAATCTATTGTACATAATACGTTCTAGTATTTTTGAAAATGTGGAGAGGACAGAGATAGGGCGATAATTACTGATAATTGTTTGATCACCTTCCTTTAAAATTGGAGTAACTTTAGCAATTTTTAGTTGTTCTGGAAAAACTCCTTGGCGTATAGATGCTCCATATACTTTAAATAGGATATCTTTTAGGTATTCAAAACATTCTATGACTATATTACCGTTTATATCATCTGCTCCGGTTGATTTATTTTTTTTAAGAGTTTTGAAAGATGCGGGCATAAAATCAGCATGTAGATATGTAGATGTTTTCACTCAAAGGTTGGAAACCAGTTGAACTAAAAATTATCTTTAAAACAAAATATTATCTTTAAAATTTTCTATTTATATAGTGTAAAATACACACAGCCTGTGTGTATTTTAAATAGTTACCCTTGGTAACAATTTTGGCACAATCTTTGAGAAGCTAAAACTTATTGAATTTTTAGTTATCTAGTCTTACTTTTTTAGTTGTTTTGTTTATAAAGTGTTAGTTATCTTTTACTGAAATTTTTGTTTACTTAGATTAAATAATAAAAAATTTATCAAAAAATGAAGCCAACTACATTAATTGAAAAAGTGTACAACTATTGTAATTTGCATCTCAACGCTAAAATGAAGAGCATCGTAGAGTATTTTGTTGCCTCTAATCACCCCAAAAAAACCATCAAACGCTATATGGCAAAGTGGAAAACAATGAGCGAAAATAAGCCTAGATCAGACTGAAAACCAAAAATTGTTACTGCTAGGAACATCAATCGCCTGAAAGATCTTTTGAACAACCAGTCTGGAGCATATAAATTCAAGTGTGATCATTCCTGCATTTTAAAAATATTAAAAAACAAAACAAATATGTGTTTTTTTAAGAAAAAACAAATCCCTGATCGCACTGATAAACAGTTAAAGCAGTTGCAACTGAAGTGTGGAAGTGTAAAGAGTCATAGTTTCTGAATTTGTCGCAAATTCAGAAACCCTGAATTTGTCATTGACAATGAGCCTTATTTTACATTTAAACATACAAATAAAAATTCTAATGGTGGATTTTACTGAAGAAAAAAATGCACCAAAAAATGTTAAATATAATTGCAAAAGTAAATTTGAAAAAAAAAATTCTTGTGTGGATTACCATTTACCCTCGTGGAACCTCAAAACCATTTATTGTTCCTGCGAGACTGGCAATTAACCAAACAGTCTACAAAAATGAATGCATCACCATGCAATTGGATCCTTTTATCAACAACCATCACAGTGATGGTAATTATGTATTCTGGCCTGACTTGGCGTCTTCAAATTGTGTTAGAAGTGTGACCAATAACCTCGATGAGAAAAATATCCGTTTTGTAACAAAAGTTGATAATTCGGCATGTGTCCGAGAATTACAACCAATAGAAGATTTCTGGTCAATCCTTAAATGCTACGTGTATCAAAACAATTAGGAAGCTCAAAATGAAAATCAGCTGCAAAAAAGAATTCATTCTTGTTAAAAAAAAGTTGATAAAAAATCTTGTACAAAGCATGTGCGAACATGTATACAAAAAAGTTGACGCAATACGTCGTATTGGAGAGAAAGCATAATTTCACCCCCGAAAGTAAAAAGCTAATATATTGCCTTACATTTTGTACTAATTTTTTATTCATTAAACTATTTGTTGTACTCTTACTGCTTGTGTTCATTTTGTGCCAAATTTTTGTCACCAGGGGTTAAATATTTTTTAAAAATTTATTTCAAATTTCTGTTTAGTGATATTTTTTCACTTAGTACTTTTCTAGAAATTTCCGTATCAAAAAACACCAAGGCCAAAGTACAACACCCAGGTTGTACCTTGGTCACTGACCAAGGAACAACTGGTCGACAGTGACCGAGGTAAAACACCACTCCAACTTCAACAAAACGATGAATTTTAAATAGTTTTAAAGTTACTTATCTCGTACGTTTTTTATTTTTTGGACACCGAAAAAAGTGTCCGAAAAAAGGTTTTAACGTCGATTACAGAAAACACCGGCTTAATGGCGGTATGTGACGAACTTCATATTGAAGAGTCGGTTGTGATGTACCAAATACCATAGACAGTAAAATTTAACA